TCGGTTGGGTTTTGTTAGGATTATGTGAATGATTTGAAATTTTGAATTGTGTGGGCATCAAATATGCATGGATCGTTTTACCTTTACAATCTCTTCCCTAAAAAAGTATTTCAAACCAAAAGCTACCTTATAAGTTTGGTCTTATATAAATTTTTATTGTGAGCGTAGTTTGATAGGGAAAGAAAAAAATAATGGTCTGGGATATTTTTGTTAGTAATATGAAAAGTGGTTGTGTACTATAAATTAATGCGTTGTCTGTCGAATCAATATACAAATTTAGCATAGATTAAAAATCATAACATGCTAAAAAATTATGAACATATAATGACAAAAGTTTTATGAGTCCGAGTCTGAAAGAATGGTCAACTATCAATTCGATGTTTAAAAGATATTTTTTCTTTTTCTTTTTTTAATTCAAGACATGAAAGATTTTAAAATCAGTTTTGTGCCTTGAAAGATTAAATTTGGCTTAAAATAATATTTTTAAGATTTTTAAATATAATTATAAAAAATATAAATAAAATGTTGTGGTATCATCCCAAGATCAAAGTTATAATTGAGAGAAAAACAAGTTTCTATTACTCAAGAGAATAAAAACAAGAAATTTACAACCTCTAAACAAAAAACTCTCAAACACTCCACAACTCTATTTGGTTGTGTTTCAACAATCTCAAGATTGATTGATCACTCTCTAGGATGATTCAAATTAATGAAATAAGAAGCCTATTTATAGATATAAGCAAGCACGCCATTGTTGAAAATGGTGTGTGAAAGAGGAAGGTTGGTGATGACCACCATTGATGAATTCTCCATTGGTGTGCCATTGAACCTTCTTCACTTGTGTGCTAATGGTAGTTGGGAGACTTGTATATTTTTTACTTGCATGGAACTTTCAATTCTCTCCTTTCCATGCAAGTTCTGAACAAGCATTCCTACTATGTCTCTGCATAGTTTAAACTTATCCAGTGTAACCACTTTTGTCAACATATCTGATGGATTCTCCTTCGTATTGATCTTCACTAGTTTCAACAGCTGTTGATCAATCTTCTCGCGTATCCAGTGATACCGAACATCAATATGCTTTGTGCGGGCATGGTACATAGAGTTCTTGCTTAAGTCAATAGCAGTTTGACTATCACAATATACCTTGTACTCTTTCTGCTTAATCCCAAGTTCTTGGAGATAGCGCTTTAGCCACAACATTTCTTTACCAGCTTCTGCGGCAGCAATAT